CTCGCCGTCTCCCCTCGCTCCCGCTTCCGTCACCCTCCCACGGGCACTCGCTGGCTGGCCTCTGCCTCGGCACCCGCAGTGCCGTCAATGGTGCAACCTACTTTCCACTCTTTTATTCTGACATGTTGCTCCCACAGTTTCCTCTCCCTTAATCCTGGGTTCATTTACTCCGCGCTCCTGACCTTGGTTATTCTTTTTAGCTTGGCTTGTCCGTTTTCCTGACCTCTCCAGTCAGACGACCTCTCCAGTCAGACGACCTCTCCAGTCAGACGACCTCTCCAGTCAGACGACCTCTCCGCTTAGCCGATCTCCCCTGCCCCTCAGTCTTTCTAGTTCCCCTGACTCCGAGTTCCCCATCCTCACAGTTCCCTGTCCAATACATCGACTGCTCGTTTTCTGCCACTCATGTTCTCAAAGAAACCTGACTCCTTTAAATTCCTGACACAAATCGCTCTCCCAGCAGTTTCCTATCACTGTTTAGGTGTATTCCGCTAGAGCCTCTTTTCCATGAGCACCTTTTTTACACTCACGAACATCTCTTCCCCTCTTCTATCATTTGGTGGGGGTTTCCATTTCTACCAACACGACCCTACCCTTCTCTTTGATCAGGTATGTCAAGGTAGCGGGCAAGGTAACAGGCCCCCTAGAGCTCGCGAGCACTGTGTCTAGTGGCATTGGCGCAATATTTTAAAGACAAAGTTGTACAAAACCTTTGGAGTGGTTTACCAACCCTCCATTGACATAGAGTCACTGAAAATCTGTTCCATTTTAATTTTTACGAGAAGTCGTTTCACAGTTTTTGGCGCAAATTTACCTACATTAATGCCCATTGTCTCTTTAAAGTAATGAAATGTTGATTAAAATTAAATAATACATCAGTCAGCATTCAAACTCTCAATTGAGACTCAAATAAAAAATTAATAAAAAGTCTCTTAATTTTGTAATCCTGTTCACTCAAGTGTGATATAAAAACATGAACGTGCTACGTTCAGGTTACAAGGCTTAACAGACAAATAATCGTGTCTGTTAAAAAAGCTGACCGTCCGTAAGCTAGTGTTGTTAACTTACAGATACTTTCTAATTTGTTTGAATTTATTGCTAAATACAATCAATAACAAATGATTTAATGACAACACTAAATGAAAACAAGGAACGAATTCGATCTTCTAGAACCTTCTAGAATTATTACAATAAGCCCAATGGACTGAGACGCGGTTCATCCCGGATAGCCAAGAATGTATTGACTCCGGCCGCGGAAGCCTACGAACGCATTCAGAAATATTTTTGTCACTGACCAAAAATGTTTATATAACGGGAAATTTAGTGATATAGAAACAACAAATAGTAGTCAGTAGTGACTTATATAAACCTAATACAGTTGTCGGTTATTTGATAGAAAAAAAATCGGGAAACATTTTCGTATGAATCCACCATTCACCGCCTTGCACCGCTTCAACGTGCACATATACACCCCTTTCTGTATTTGGAGAGGAAATAAATACGGAGTCAGGGGAAATTGCCCGTGCCCGTATGAGTGTCGAGCTCCCCGGGCGGGCAAGTAGCTCGTGTGGGCACGGTTTGATCAGCCTGTAGGTTCTTTTGCTTTCTTCTTTGCTTCTATTAGTATAACTAGCATATTGGGTGTGTTGTCTGTTAGTATAACTTAGCATTTGTCAGTTTTCGTCTTCCTTTTCTGGATATTCAGTATGTTAAATCATTCACCGATGACTACTCATTTGCTCGTTTTCTTCTGGCATTTATCGCAATAAAAATTAGGAAGCAGCTATGTTTAATGAACTCCAAGATATTTAATTTCATAATCCATACCAACATTGTAAATATTTTTTTCAAAAACTATTTAAAAAAAGTCATAAAAATGAAGATGTGTTGTAAGTAAAACAAATTTGGATAAGAAAAGTTGTAAAATGGTTAGATACACACCACGCTTAACACATGTAAGATTTCGAATAAAATGTTTTCTTATCCGTTTCCAATCATTCATCTTATTTCGTATTAATGGCCCTATTTTATACTGTCACAGCAAAACATAAGCAGACCGAGAATATCTGGATTTCAAACACACTCTTTTACGAACTTTCTTGGCATTTGATGAAGATTTTCTTTGAAATTTGTCTAAGAATACTTTAAAATACAATACGGAGATACATGTTTTGAAGTATAAGTAATTATTTTATTTACACAAATGTTGTACAAGAATTACTAAATATATTGGCAATAATCCTGTATTACTCAAAACTGAAGGCAAGCTGCAAGACGTCTGTGCCAAATATCGTGACAAGTTACAAACGATTATTAAGAAATTACGTTTTACATATAAACTATAAAGTTACTTCAGATGTGTAATATCTTTCAAGTAAATTGATATTATAAACTTTTCCTGCTCTATAGTAGCCAATCTATTAAACCACACACTGAAGAAAGGCTAAGAGAATAATAAGAACATTTACACTAATAACAGACAAATTAGTTTCTATGTTAGGCTCATTTGAATTTCAGATGTGTTCCAAAAAATGGAAAAACTGACATTGTAAATCAGGGAAATTTATCTTTGCTTTGCGTTTAACTTGCAAAACAGTTATTGAAATAATTCATACTGTTATTTGTCACTATAGCAATAGTCTACCAAAACGTTCTTTGTGCGTCAATTGAATATTACATTGTCAAGTTTATGAAAATAAAATGGAACTATTTTAAATGATCAAAATAAATTGCAGCTAAATATGAATATTAGAAAGGAATTTAAAAGAAGTACTGAATGCCTTAGCATACGAGAAGATTCCTCACACTCTGTTTTCAAAACTATTGTCAATAAATCCCTTGTTCTTGAATAATGCATACTTTTAAATATTATGTTCAAAAAATGAAGGATATATACTTTAATATACTGTTTAAAAATGTGATTTTTTTTATTGTTATCAAGAGTTCTTTTACCACCCTGTTATGTGGCAACCTTTATCCTCAAAAACATGTATACTAGTTTTAGGCGCATTTGAATTTGAGCTTTTCTTCTTAATATTTCCAGTTGAAAAACAGAAATATCGATCCTGAAGGAAAGAGAAATTCACCTAATTTTACGTATACTTGCACAGCCTTGTCCATTGATTGCCATTGATTTCCGTTTATCCATTCCCCGCCTGACCGCCTCTACGATAACTGCCGGCGCCCGTGGCCTTCGGGCAAAGGCGAGGGCATTTATTTCCTCATTTCACTTTCCTGTATTGTGCGCAACTGCGACGATGAACACATCGCACGTCTATATCTCAAACCGTAATATCACACCAGACACGGCTGTACAATGCTTCTCTGATATTAAAACATACGCTATCGCCTTATATTTACCAAAATGAAATCTGCACGAGAAAATCTCTATCGTTCTATTGACAGAAATTACAATTAACATTCACAACATATGTAATGAAATGTTAATATAAATAGTTTACTACGAAAACACTCACTCAAAATATTTATTTTAAACTAGAATGATAAATCATAAATATTTACATTCATACACCCGAAAGGAAAGGCCACTCATCATTTCCGCAAATCATGGTTTGTTCAAGTTCTTCAATAAAAATACTACTAAAATTGCTTCTTCTTCAAAGATTCAGATATTTAGATACGAATAGAATATACCGTAAAATGTCATGTTTTACGTATTACGTATGATTGTTGAGTTAGAAATACGTTACCATGCAGCATCCTTTTCGCGTCCATTAGTAGAGGCACGAAGACATTGTAATCACGGCTTCATAGTTTCGTCACCTTCAACTGTTCCTGCAACAAGACAGGTGTGGACACGAACACCTGCAGCTGAGTTTCCGTCCGTTTGTTAACTGCTACCGTCTCAATCATAAGACAGTTCTTCTTTCTACACACAGAGAATGAATTTTCCTAAATAGTCTTCTCTGACACTACAATATCCCGCTTTTCTCTTTCGCACCAAACACAAACCAGAGCCACGACTAACGCATAGTTCAACCGAACGCACTGTGTGCCTGCTAAACCCGCCTTCTTTGGTTTTCGAAAACGGAATGCTTCTTTCGGGTCGATGCAAAGAGGGGTGCTTATGACGTAATCTTTTCCCCCTACTCTTAGTTGTTCTAGGCAAGCAACGAGTCTACGACTCTTCCCCTAAAATGTGTTATATCTTTCTCCTGGGTATTATGGGGGCGCAAACCAACGCTATCTTTTGGGTGAAAGACACATCATGATATTGGCTCCAATAACTAGACTTGGTTGCAATCTGATAAATGCTATTATAAATCATGTATAAACATTTCTTAGATATATGATGTGGATGAAATGAAAGTTATGTGATGTGTTGATGATACTGTTGTACAGTTAGTAAAGAAGGTAACTTTACTAGTTTTCCTTAAAATAAAATAATTTAAATTAGCAATTTACGGGGACGAAAGAAAATATTTAATAACCAGCAAGGAACCAAAACGATGTAAGGTGTAACTGCAAGGAAGAGTGGAAGAATAAATAATGGAGTTCATATAAAGATATAAAAAGTTTCAAAAACAAAGCAATGATATAAACATGAGGGGGATAAAAATGGGTTCCATGGCTCTAAGAAATACATCATTTTCTTCTCCCCTAAAAAGTTTGAAAGGAGCCACATAGCCCTACATATTACATTTTATTTTCGTAATTATGATCAGTTCCTGATTTTCTCCTTTTTTCTTTCACATATACGTGGGTATACAAATGTAATAAGATTCATTTCTATCTTGTAAAATTGTATTAATCTTAAATGTAATAAGATTCAATTTATGATTATTTTTCAAAATTGCTCAGCTTCAAGCCAGTGCATATTGACATAGGAATATTATTTTTGGGAAAAATACCAGAACTACTAAGGCCAGAGATGTAGATTACAAGTTCGAAAAACAGTAGAAATATGCAGGCAAAATAGGTGTTTAAAAATGTAAAATATTTTTTTAAATGTGAAATAGGAATTTAAAAAGGCACTGTAAATGTGTCTTATTTTTATTCATGTGCTTATGTTAAATGTTTCTCAAGTACACATAATATATTTACCTTTGTGGAATGTTTGCTTTCATTACTGTTCAAACAAATCCGTGGAGATATCCCTTCTATCATCGTTGAGCGAATCGGACAAAAAACGCTTAATCGCGATAGCTACCATTTTGATTTTCATTAAATACACGATAATACTCTAATTCCTTCCAGTATGATCTCATACATTTCTTTTAAGGAAATCATATGATTTCTTTTAACCATCATGCATAACACAAATGTTTTAACTAGTGATGTTACAACAGCACGTACTTTCTAAAAATATCTGAAAAAGTCATTATTCAAAATTAGATTATATAGGTATTAACACATTATTTTGATATATAATAATCTATATCTGAAAAAATATTTCAAAATTTGCAATTTTAAAAACTTAGAGAGTTCAGCGAATACGAAACCTGCGCCATTCTTTTAAGCGTCCCTTGTTCATTGTGTGGGAAAAAAATTGAAGAAAAAAATTGTAGTATTTTTTGAAGTTTTTTATAATTTGCATTAATTTTTAGCGAAAGAACTAATTTGCAAAATAATATGTACATAACACTTTTCAACGATCTGTTTTTTTTAGAATAGATTTCATTTCAGACCAAAATCTATTGTACATTCGCTATGTTAAATTTTTACAATTTTCGAAAATACAGTTTGCGAAAATGGGACCGCACCAGTTTTTATATCGTTCTTTGATACATACGAGAAGAAATTTTGAAAAACAATTGAAGACGTCTTTGAAAAAAATATGTTTAATACTTCGAAACAAAAAAAAAAGTTTTTAAATAAGGATAATTGCATTTATATAAATAAATGCGAGAATAAGTAACATTTAGGCATTTGTTAATGAAAAAGGCATTTATAGGCACTATAAAATTTGCATATATTACTCCTAATATATCAAAATGAATAAGTAACCTAAAAAATTTACTTTTTCATTGAAGAGAAAAATTGACAAATTGGCAAAATTTCGCTGCTTAGTATATATCTCTATATAAACTACGTAAGTAATCGAGAATGTAACTCGTGTGCTACAGTATGGCCATCTTTCTGGGGCTAGTTGGCTTGATATTCCCTTGGATAGCTAAAGACTATCAGGACCTCCCACAATACGGTGCTCAAGACTACGTTTGCACACCCCGAATATCCAATATACCTCTTTCAGTACTTCTATCATTGTCCGGGTTAGAGGTATCCACTTACATTCATAACACATAGATGTCCCACAGTTGCCTGCCAATTGTCTCTGTTTTTTAACATTTATTAATATAAAATCCTATAAAAGCGTACATGACACCTTCACCTCCTCGTAAATACCATTTATACAATTATTATGATCTTCTTGCATTTAGCCGTTTTATTTTCTAATGCTCCTTGTTGCCATATATTCTAATGTTCAAAGCTGACCTTCCCATTCTGATTATTATTCGTTTCTTCCTTTCATTTACCCATCTTTCGTGCCCTTTCACATTACATCGCAGGTGTTCTTTCCCCCTCTCATCTGCACATCAGCTCAGCGAGGGTCTCCACCATTCTGCGTCATCTGCGCTTCCGGTGCGACCTCACGTCAACATCCGCCCGCTCAATGAAACGATCCCCTCTTGTGCCCTCACCTTAGGCCTACGCAGCCCGCAGCCCGTACCGTCTCTCCCTACACCTGCCTCCGCCCCTCCTCCTCCGCGCCCCACGCCTTTCGCGTCCTAC